CACTCTAATAACACAGGAAGAGCAATTTCAGGTGGTTTCCAGGCTTGTGATGGGGCATCTGAGGTTTTGCAGATCATAATGGTATCACAGAAAGCTCTAAAGCCCCCTTTCCCCGTGGTGGGGGCATGTAACCAAGGCTGGGCTGGGACTAAGGCGTGCTACATGGTGCATATGTCACTGCCAGCGTTGGGCAGGTCAGGGAGAGCTGCAGGGGCCAGGCTATGCAGTGATATGTACCCTCTCACAGACATCAAGAAGGGGTAGGGCTGCCAGCTCCCACGCCCAACCAGCCCAGAATGAGAAATGTGAGCCTTGTGCTCTGCTCTTACCTCCTAGGCCAGCTGCCATTTCCAAGAGTCTCAGGATAAAAAGATGGAAATGAGGCCAGGTGCTGATGGCTCATACCTATAATCTTAGCCACCCAGGAGGCTGAGATCTGAAGACTGAGGCTTGAAGCCAGCCAGGGGAAGGAAAGTCTGTGAGACTTTCTTCCAATTAACCACCGTAAAGCCAAAAGTGGCATTGTGGCAGAAGTGGTAGACCACTAGCCTTGAGCACAAAAGCTCAGGGACAGCACCCAGGCCCTAGATCAAGCCCCAGAACCGACATTATAAAAAGAGACATTTTAAAAAGAGATGAAGGAGCTGCTTTGCAAACCCTATTTGTATCTCAGGATCTGGTGTCTCTAATTCCCTGGGAGGAAAGGGAGGTCTAGAACCAAACAGTAGTGAGGAATTCACTTTGGCTTTGCACATGTGAGTCCCTTTCTGAGCCTTTTTTTGTCTGTTGCAAGGACCAGCTGTGTATCTAGGCCCAGTGCCCCTGGAGGAGATGGAGAAGATGAAGTCTCACCAAATAGTTGCAAGTACAGTGCTGTCACTCCATTTGTCTCTGTAGGTGCCCTTGAGTTGGCCTTGAAGCCCCAGGGTCACTCAGCATTGCTGACTTGATCTTATCACTTCAAGCCACTTCTGGCTGAATGCCCAGCAGCTTAGGGATGACTCTGTACTCAGGACTCTTCATGTGTCACCCAACCCTGGGGAGAAGCAGCTTACCCTACCTCCTGCTGTCCTGAGGCTGCAAAGCAACCCTAGGGCCAGCCAGTGGTGTTAAGAAAGGAAGTGTGACAATGTGGCAGGAGTGATCTAGGACCTGCAGAGCTAAGAGGGGACTTCTAGAGGTGACAGGTTTTGTGCTAAGTCTTGAAGAATGAGTACAATGTTTCCACAGGGCCGAGAGAAAGGCACTGCATCAAAGACAGCAGCATGTGCAAAGGCCCAGAGGGGCCCAGAGTTGCTTTGCTTGCCCACCCTCGCCAGTTCATTGCAGACTGTATTATGTAGTTCTTTGTAGCCAGCATTTTCCATTCCCATTGCAGCCTTACCAGAATGATTTTCAATAGCTCTGTCTCAGGAAAGACTCCACAACTCTCCAGATTGCCTACAACAGTAACTGTGGCACAATTTGGCTTCATGTACAGCTTGATCCAGGGACCCCAAAAGTTGTCATTGGAACTTAGTCTTATCTCTACTCTTTCCAGTGGGAACTTCCATCTCAGAAAGTTCTTGCCAACTCCTGGGCAGCTTCAGGCTTCCCTCAGCCCTATAGACACCCCTGTGTGGCATCATCCCCTACCCTAGATGTAAGTCCTACTGGCCTTCTACTTGTCCCAACCTTGACCAATCACTTGACAGAAAGACGAAATATGCTAATTAGTCAGGATGATTTCACCCACTATCCTGAGGCTAGAACCCTGATGATCACTGGAAGTAATTCCCTGGAGGAAAATCAGGGTGCCTCTAAGCAGATAAGGGGTCAAGAATCAGCTACATAGCAAATATTCACCCCCAAGTACCTCATTTAGACTCCCTCCAACTTATCAGGGCGCTCCCTTCTTCAGGGAGATGCTGATAGGACCTATGACACCCTGGGCTTTTTCTGAGTGCAATCCTTGTCTCTTCCATGCCCCAGTGAGCTCTTCCGCAGGGAGCAGGGGTCTGTGATTGTTCTTGGGCCTCCTCCAGGCACCGGGGCTCCACTGAAACATCTTGAAGGTGTCTTGCTTATGTGTGGATGTGGTGGAAGATACTGATATGCGACACCTCGTTAGCTGCGGATGTGGGGAATTCATGAGATCTAAAGTTAGGAGCCGTCCCACAACATTGAAGTCCTGAGAGGAACATGGCCCAGCATCCTCACCCTATTTTTAGTTCAGATACTTGTGGAATGACATCTGAGTGCTTGCACGCCTGCTCGCCCACCACTGGGAGTCACACAGCCTGATTCTGCCCAAATAAGGGTGGCAGCCTGTCAGTCCCCCCGAGAGGCAAGGGTGGGCCCAACAGGTGGATGGATGGTGCAGAAAGGCTTGGATGCCAGGGACAGGGTGTAAGTGGGTCAGATACCAGTCGAGTCCATGCTACGCCCTGTAGTGTTTCTTAGGCCTCCCATCTCTCCAAGTAGCCCTGACCTCTTCCTCTGTCCCCAACAACAGTGTGGCTGCCTCTCCCATCCCTGGAGCTACAAGATCTCAGGATGGTTTACCCTCTTTTTTTTTTTTTTTCCTTTTTGTGCCATTCTTGGGGCTTGAACTCAGGTCCCTGAGCTTTTTTTGCTCAAGGCTAGGACTCTACCACTTGGAGTCATTGCTCCACTTCCAGCATTTTGGTAGCTCATCGGAAAGAAGAGTCTTACAAACTTTCCCTGTCTGGGCGGGTTTGGAGCCACGAGCCTCAGGTCTCAGCCTCCTGTGTATGCTAGGATTACAGGTGTGAGCCCCCAGCATCTGGCTCTTTCACCCCTCCCCCATCCTCTGGTGCTAGTATTCAAACCTAGGACCTCCCACATTCTAGGCAAGTGCTCTGCCAATAAGCTATGCCCCAGAAAAGGCCCATTTCCTCTTACAGGAAGTTCCTTGGCTTATGGAAGCCACTTGCAGAGCAAGCTCAAGGTTGGAGGGGCTACAGAAGGCTCTTCTATCTCAGTGAGGCAGCAGTGCAATCACCTCTAGCTTGGTACCAGGCCAGGTGTGCCGTGGTGGGGTTGGCAGTAGCAGGTGGCTGGGGTCAAGCCTCCCCATTGCCTCTATGAGTTCTCTAGTCAGACAAGTCCCTGTGTGAGAATGCTGGTGGCTCACAACGGTAATCCTAGCTACTCAGGAGGCTGAAGTCTGAAGATCAGGGTTTGTAGACTCTTATCTTGAAGTAACCACCAAAAACCCACAAGTAGAGATGTGGTAGAATGCTAGTCTTGAACATAAAAGTCAAGTAAGAGAATGAGGCCCTGAATTCCAGTCCAAGCACTATACACATAGGGTAAACAAAGACAAAAGACAAAGATCCTTTTATCCCACCCTACCCCTACCAGGAACACCAGCCCTGGGACATCCAGCCCCTGCTTGATCCCCTGGGTCTGAGAGCCAGTGGTCCCTCTGGGGGCTGAGTTTTGCTCTTTAGTTGAAGTACCCTAAGAATTCCTGCATGTTCTGCATTCTTTCTGGTTCTGCAGGCCTTCTTCCTGAGCTCTTACTACAGCAGAGTCTGGAGTCCCCGGCAGGAGAACCCAGGCCCCTCACCCCAACTCCCCTGCCCAGGGCCATCCATCCCCCAGCTGCTTTGTGGAGCCAGGAGAAAAAAGCCCACTGGTTTGCAGGGCTATCCTCTACCCCCTAGCTCCTGAGCCTGGAAGAGGCACACGGATGGATCCCATCCCCTACCCCAGGGGTTCACTAAAGCCTAAGCCAGAGCTCAGGGCACAGACAAGGGCTTCAGGGAGGGGTGAGGAGGGGAACGTCTGCCCCCGAGTGGCCATCTGCTGGCTAGCAGGAATTATAGGCTGTTGCCTGCTGGGTGCACAGCCTGATCCAGCTCCCTGGGTCTGCCAAGGGAAAAGAGTCTCCAAACTGGGGACATGGGATGGAGCAGAAGGAGGGTTTCAGAGGGGTTGAGCTGAGACTCCCCCGAGCTGTGGCTTCTTCTCCCAGGATGGAACGGAAAGAGCTGTGTGTTCAGGACCACACAGTTGGCCGTGACCTGGAGGAGGAAGGCAGGACAGAGTCGGGCCTGGAGGTGTTCAGGGAGTCCAGGGCAGGGCAGGGGTTCCCCCATCTTTGTTGATCTGAGCCACCCAGGTCTCCCACACCCTCAGTGTGGGCCTGTCAGGTGTGAACTTGGCTTTTCCATGAGCATCACATCCTTATCATGTCCTTATTTCTTTCTCTGGCCCTGCTGCATCTCTAGCTGGTATGCAGTGGGAGTGGCTGTACTCTACACTGGTGGTCCAGTGTGGGATCCAGGAGGGGTGGCCATGGGTGAGGGACAAGGGCAGTTGTCCATGCTGGGACCTGGATCACAGGAGGATGCCTGTCCCTTCTTGCAGAGAGAGGCAGCAATGTGGGCCCAGGAGGGGTTTGAGGTGAGAAGGTAGCACATGGGGCTCCCAAGCTGGGGTGTCAGTCCCCGAACCCTGCTCTCATCCACATAACACACAGAGAGACCCAGATTAAGGTAAAGAAGTGACAAGAGGCAGTGTGATGACAGTAACTGCAGAATTCAGGGGTCATGGAAAATCAGTGTGGGTGTGTGCATGTGCGCATGCGCACCCACAACACCCCCCGCCCCCCACACACACATGCACACACCAGTACTGGGCCTGACCTCAGGGCCTAGGTGCTGTCCTTGAGCTTTTTCACTCAAAGCCCTCTACCACTAGAACCACAGCTCCACTTCCAGCTTTTCAGAAGTGGTAAATTAGAGATAAGAGTCTCACAAACTTTCCTGCCTAAGCTGGCTTTGACCCACAATCCTTAGATCTCAGCCTCCTGAATATCAAGGATTATAGGTGTAAGCTATCAGATCCTGGCCTGGTGTGGGTTTTAAGGAAGCCACAGAGTCTCCATTCATGCCCCAGGACTCTGTGATACCCAGGAGCAAGCAAGATCTTCCACTCTTTCCCAATCCAGCACTGGTGTCTAACCAAACTCTGGGTTTTCTTTCTTGCAGATGTTGGAGTAGTTCAAGTTTTGGCCACAGGCAAGTCTGCAGGGCCTGAGATTGGTAGGTGGCCTACCATTTTGTCCATGGGTGGGTGCTGGGGTTGGTCTCCTGCTGGTCAGCATATAGAACCAAGGTCATGGTCACCTGTAGGCCCACCTAAGTGTTTAGCAGGGCTTTATCCTGGGAGCCAGGTCTGTGGTAAAGCCTGCCCTTAACTAAGAGAGCACAGGCATCATGTCTGCTCTGTATAGCTGATGGATGGCTCCAGTACCCACAATGCCCTGCACTGTACACAGTGTCCCTCATTGGTGGGCTGTGCCTGCTCCCAGCCCTCAGCACATTGTCCCTCTGCTGGCACGGTGCCTGCCCCCTCCCTACTTCAGGCTGGCCTCACTGGCAAGGTGTGATTGGCAAATCTCTTCCTCTGAAAAGCCTCTTGACTCCCCAACCCACACACCATAGCCTATTCTGTCACATGACTGTAGTGACTTCTTTGTCTTCCCTTGCTAACTCCAGTCCCCCAAACTTGAGCCTTTCTAGTGTGCCCTCAGAGTCACCATATGCCAGGCAGCAAACACATAGTCCATTTGTGACCCAAATGAATCAATGAATTAATGAAGGAAGAATGAAGGCAGAGCTACAAGAGACCAGAGTAGTAAGCCACCCATCCCCAGGGCTAAACCGAGACAACCATGAAGAGCTGGGAACACATTTGCACAGATAGAGACCAGGAGTGGGGTTCCAAATATGGAGAAAGGAGGAGAATGAGGCTGGACACGGCAGGGTGGAGTATGGAGAGGCAGGGACCAGTGCAGAACTCTAGACTATCCAGGACCATCGGCAGAGTGGTGACTCAGTTGTGTCTCCTCTCCGGGCTGCAGATTTCAAATACGCTGTCATTGGAACTGCCTTGGGTGTTGTCATATCGGCTGGCTTCCTGGTCTTGAAGATCTGCATGATCAGAAAGCACCTGTCTGATAACAACTCTTCAGAGCTCAAGAGCACTCCGCTGTGCACCAGTGGTAAGAGCCCTGTGACACTCAGCACCACATACCCCGTGCTGCCTGGCCCCACGAAGGAAAGTGTGTTAGTCAGCTTGTGTCAGCTATAACAAAAGACCTGAGGTAGTCAACTTATAAAAGATGGTTTTATACTGTCTCACAGTTTTTGTTGTGCGTGTTTATTCCCCCCTGTAGGGCTTGAACTCAAGGCTTCATGCTCTCACTTTTTTTTCCTCAAGGCTGGTGCTCTGGAGCCATACCTCCACTACTTCCACTTGTTTTGTTTTTTTTTTTTCCTTTTTGCTGGTTCATTGGAGCTAAGATTGTGCTCTTGTGGACTTTTCTGCCCTGGCTGGCTTTGAACTATGACTCTCAGATCTCAGTGCTCAGCTTGGCTCACAGATTGAAAGTTTCAGTCCAGGACTCATTAACTCTGTGGCTTTGGGACTTCTAGTGGCACAATATATTGTAGAAGCTATGTATGGTGGAGGAAGCTGGTTTAGCTCATGGCCATACTGAGAGAGAGAGAGAGAGAGACAGACAGACAGACATTCAGACAGACAGACAGACAGACATTCAGACAGACAGAGACAGAGACAGACAGAGACAGAGACAGAGAGAGAGATTCATAATCCCACTTGAGGACTCATCTCTGAACCCTCAGACTTCCCACTAGACCTCAAATGTCCCATCATGCCCCACTTGGGGACCAAGTCTTTGACATAAAACTTTGAATGGTGTCCTGCATTGCCACCCAGCTTGCGGTACTGAGGACAGCTCCGTGACAATTATCAGAAGAAGAATGAAAACCAGAGCACAGAGCCCAGCATACTCCAGGGAGGAGAAAGTGGTCCTCTTTCTCTATCTCTCTTCCACCTCCTCTGTCCCCCACCCACTTCCCACTCCCTGCCTCTGTGTCTTTTTTTTTTTCTTTTGCTAGCCCTGGGGCTTGAATTCTGAGCCTGGACTCTGTCCCTGAGCTCAACACTAGTGCTCTACCACTTGAGCCATGGCTCCACTTCCAGTTTTTTTTTTGTGGTTAATTGGAGATTAGAGTCTCATGGGCTTTTCTGCCCAAACTGGCTTCATTGACCCTCAGATCTCAGCCGCCTGAGTTGCTAGGATTACAGGTGTGATCACCAGCACCTGGCTTCTGTCTGTCTTTTTGTCCCATCCTCCCTCTGTGTCTCTTGTAACTGTGCTCTGTGTCTCTCTGTTTTATGCTTCTCTGTTCCACTGTTCTTGATGTTTCTGAGCCCCAAGTCCCCTAGAGAATGTTGGGAAGAAGATCTGAAGTTGGCTTCATGCAGGACTTTGTTTCTTAATTCAAGGATGCAGCCATGAGGTGGGCCCAAGCATGGTGGATATCAGTGCTGTGATGTCAGACAAACCACTGCTGTGTGTGGGAGAGCCACGGTGTGGTCCACGTCCCAAGGACCTGTGCAGGAAATGGGCCTCCTTGAGCAGAAGCTGAGCAGTCAGCGTGACTGTGACCTAGCAGAAGGCAGTACTGATTTATGTTCGTCTGTCCCCAAATATCTCCCACAATGCATCTGCTGTTGTATTACTTTTCTTTTTTTCTTTTGCTGTTCTGGGGTGGATGCCGGGGCCTGAGCACACCAGCTAAGAGCTCTTTCCCTGAGATGTGTTTCCCCCTTCCTGAAGTAGACTCAATGAAATGACTGTAAATGTTCTCCAAGATGTTTTTGTACCCTTGGAGAATTTTGACTGGAAATTTTGACTATAAAGACATAGAACCCGGTGTTGTTGGCTCACACCTGTAATCCTAGCTGCTCAGGAGGCTGAGATCTGAGGATTGATGCTTGAAGCCAGCTTGGGCAGAAAAGTCCATGAGACCCTTATTGCTAATGAACCAGCAAAAAGCCAGAAGAGGCAGGTGTGGCTCAAGTGGTAGAAAGTAAGTGTTGAATGGAAAAAGCCAAGCAAGAGTGTGAACTAAGAGTGTGAGTTCAAGCCTCAGTATTGGTGCACATGCTCATGGGTGCATGCATGTGTGCACGTGAGCATACACACACACACACACACACACACACACACACACACACATGATGTATGAAAGAGGGATTCAGTCCAGAGGCTGGATGCGGCATGGGGGGATTCCCAAGATACTAATTTCTTGCTATTTGTCCAGGACACGAGGGCCTCCATTCATCTCAGACACTGACGTCTCCTTGCTTCAGGACATTAGCAAAGAAGGGAGCCCCAGAGCTACAAGTGGAAGGAAGATTTAGGGTGATAAGAAAGCTCTAGGGATCACTTAGACTCAGCTATGTGCCAGTTTAGGGGGCCTAGTGACGGGATCTGAACAGAGATGCATTAACTGTGACCAAGGCCAAGCTGGGTTCCCCTTCTGGCAAGTGACTGGCCCAGAGCCTCTCAGCACGGCCCTCCTGACCCCAGCCATCAGTGGCTCTGTGAGAATGAGCCGGTGTCACAGGTCCCCTTTCTAATGCTGTGTTTTCTCTGTCTAGACACCATCATGTGCAAGAAGAGAACCTCCAGGTAAGATGGCCACAGATGAAGTCAGAGGGGGCTGGTGGATCTCCTGTCTTGCTGCATCCTGGCTTTCTCTCAGGGCAGAGAGATATGTCCTCCCTTTCTCACTCTCTCCTTCTTTGTACTAATGGGCGGGTATCATGAGAGTGGGGACCACAAAGAGTGATAGCCACCACTGGGCACTGGTGGCTCATACTTGTAGTCTTAGCTACTCAGGAGGCTGAGATCTGAGCATTGCAGTTTGAAGCCAGCCCAGGCAGGAAAGTCTGTGCAACTCATCTCCAGCTAACCACCAAAAAACAAATCAAGAAGTGGAGCTGTGAGGCAAGTGGTAGAGTGCTAGCCTGGAGCAAAAGATGCTCAGGGACAGTGCCCAGGACCTGAGTTCATGCACCAGGACCAGCACACACACTCACACACATTGCGTGTGCACAATAGCCAAGGGCTTAGGCTTTCCAGCACGTCTTGGGTTAGATTTTCTGAAAGGCTCTTTCTGCTAGATGACATTCATATATCTTCATTTTTATAGTCTGCTCCCTTAAATATCAGCTCCTCGAGGGGAGGTCTTCCTTTTCATCTCTGTATCCCCAGCACTTGGCATAAGTACCTAGATCCCAGTACCCATAGAAGTGTTGAATGAATGAACAGGCACAGCTCTGGGCCAGGTGCTGGGCTGAGAAAAGAGGAAGCTACAGGGGACTCTAGGCTGCCGAATAGAGAGTCACAGAATGCCAGGACAGGACTAAGCCCGTGTGCCTTGGGTGTTGGGGGTGCTGGGGGTGCATAGCCCATTGGGAAGCAGTGCGTAGAGTAGGGTGGTGGAGCATGGTCTGTTGCAGAAGCAGGAGGATAAGCTCACATGGGCAGAGGGGACCCTGGCATACATAGGGATGTTTGGCTTATTATAGAAAGAAAAGGCTGCAAAGATGTGTAGTTCCTCCTCAGGGAGGATCCAACAGTGAAGTGGCTAAGTGAAGGAGTCTGAAGGTTCTCCTGATACTTCATCAACCAGGTGATTCCAGGCAGGGAGTGGATGGAATATTCTTTCTCCTAGCTGCCAGAGGAGGGGCCCTGGGAACCAGATTAGATGGTCCTATAAGAGATTTGGACTGGCTGCAAAGCTCAGTAGAGAGATCAGAGAAGTGGACCTTCTCTGGAAGGATTTTTTTTTTTGACGTGTAGGCTAAAGGAAGGTATTTTTCATAATCCAGGCAGACAGGGTGGACCAAGGGTGGCTGCCATAGTTATTCAAAACAAATATTTGAAGCTGGATGTTGGTGGCTCACGCCTGTAATTCTAGCTGCTCAGGGGACTGAGATTTTTAGATTGAGTTTCAAAACCAGCCAAGGAAGGAACATGCATGAGACTCTTATCTCCAATGAACCACCAAAAAAGCCAGAAGTGGAGCTGTTGCTCAAGTGGTAGAGCACTAGACTTGAGAAAAAAAATACTCAGAGACAGTGCTCAGGCCCTAAGTTCAAGCCCTAGGACCAAAATTTTTAAAAATGAAAGCCAAGTGCTAGAGAAAGAAGAAAATGAAGAACTGGAGAAAGGCAGGCAGGAAGGGAAGGAATTGAGACTTTGGAAAGAAGTAGGCACACTTTCCAAAACTAACACTAGAGGGAGTCAGTGAGAGTCAGGAAGATTTAAGATACCAAAAAGAGTCCTCATTGGCCCAGCTTTGTGTGTGCTTTCTACCACCTAGGACTTAGTTCCCAAAGGGCCTATTGCCTTGTTTTATAACCTAACGCTGAGTTTCTCCAAATGGTTGGATGGCCCAGTATAGTGGTGCACATTGTAATACCAGCTACTCAGGAGGCAGAGATAGGAGGATCCTGGTTCAAAGTCAGACAGGGAAAAGTTAATGAGACAACTTATCTGAAATAATATAATAATAATAATAATAAAGGTTTGGCACATGGCTTTGATGGTGAAGTGTTCATTAGCAAGCTTAGAGGACTTGAGTTGAATGAAAATGAGAAATTTTTGTGCTAAATGCAGGGAGGGTTGTTACTGTCCCTAGTGGTTTGCGGCTCTTCTGTGCACATGCACAGGCAAAGATGAAAAGAAAATCCAAAATACCTGTTGTCTGCTCAGCACTGCTTTGGAGACTGATGGATAAAGCCTCTGTGTGTGTGTGTGTGTGGCTATGGACTGGAGCCAGAGGGCAGGGTCACAGTGCAGGGCCACAGGGCATTGCACTGTTGCTTTTTTCCTAGTGGTTTGAACTCAGAACTTTACACTTGCTAAGCTGATGCTCTACCACCTAAGCCAAGCCTTCATGCGGGAGGATTTTTGCTGGTTGTTTTTGAGATAATCTCACATCTTCCTCCAGCACATGCTTGAGCTATGATCTGCCCACTTGAAGCTTCCTATAGTCTCTGGGATCATAGTTGTGTGCCTATGATATCTGGCCACTGTTCATGGAGATGGAGCCTTGAGGATTTTTCTCCCAGGCCTGACTTGGAACCTCAATTCTCCTATTCTCAGCCTCTTACATAGCTTGGGACGACAGGAAGGTACCACTGTACCCAGCCATGGGTTGAGAAGGAATCTGAAGAACTGTTCTGACTGATCCTCCCCTTTCCAGGCTTCCAAGTATGTTTTGCTTCTTTTGCATTTTCTCTGTACTCATAGAATTATTTTTCTTGGTTGGCCCATGTGAAAATCCGTGCAGCATCATGGTATTTCACCCCTAAATCCATCAAGATTGTGCCTCCCATAGTCCCAGCACAGAGGCCATTCCTGAGATGAACCCTAATTCTGTAATGTCACCAATTTTCCCTTCTGTAGTCACATTTCTCCAATTGTTTTCAGAGTAACCTTTTATTGCTCTACTTATTCAGTGCAGAAAATATCACTGAATTTAATTTTATTTCTCTTTAGTCAGTGGTGGACAATTTCTGCCTTTTTCTTACCATTTCACATCAATTTGGAAGGAACCAAGCCTTATTTAATTTGTCTCATATGATTTCTCATTTTGTAGATTTGTTTCCTGTTTCCACATAAAGAGGTCCAGACTGAATTTGTTGTTATTGTATTGTGTTGGTTTTGGTCAAGAATACTACATAGGGAAGGAAAGGGGGAGAGAAGGGAGGGGAGAAGAGGGAAGAGAGGGGAGCTTCGAGACGATTTTGTGCTTCTTTTCTGGTATGAGTCAGCAGGCACATGGCTGCAGCCAGCTACACTGCTGGTGATGCTTCATTTGATGGCTTGACAGGAAATGACTCTGGCTTCTGCAATATAGAGATTAAAACATTCCCCTTTGGGGCTGGGAAGGTGGCTCAGTGGTAGAGCGCTTGCCTTGCACGCATGAAGCCCTGGGTTCAATTCCTTAGCACCACATAAGCAGAAAAAGCCAGAAGTGGTGCTGTGGCTCAAGTGGTAGAGCGCTAGCCTTGAGCTGAAGAGCTGAGGGACAGCTCCCAGGCCCAGAGTTCAGGCCCCACAATTGGAAAAAAAAATCAAAAAAACAAAAAACATTTCCCTTTGTAGTGAGGAAGGACTGGTACTTTGAGATTCATGTGACTATCTGATCACTATCAGTTCCTCAGTACTGACTTTGAATCTGTTCAGGATCTGTGCTTGAATGAGCTTTGGCTCTGGGTGGTTACAAAATTACTACGTTTCCAATTCTAGCACTTCTTCTACATCTGATAGATGTAGGGTTTTAAAATTATACCATACATTAGTTGCACAAGAGGGTCTTTCAGCCAGGCACTGGTGGCTCACACCTGTAAGCCTAGCTATACAGGAAGCTGAGATCTGAGGATCATGGTTGAAAGCAGCTTGGGAAGAAGAGTCCATAAGACTCTTAACTCCAAGTGACCACCAAAAAGAAAAGAAGTCAGAAACAGAGGTGTGGTTCAAGTGTAGAGGGCCAGCCTTGAGTGAAAAAGCTAAGAGACAGTACCCAGGCCCTGAGTTCAAGCCCCACTACCAGCCCACATGCATGCACACACACACACGCGCACACACACACACACACACACACACACACACACACACACACGAAAACCAGATCTGATTACCTTGTGGTCAGGGCCGCTGAAGGCCACTGCTTCCTGACTCCAGCAATGGGCAGCAAGAAGTATGTGTTTAATCACAAAGTCAATCCCACCAAGTTCTTCCTGAGCTTCCCCTATTCATGATTTGAACTCTCCTCCTTCCAAGTAAAAACTCTGGCTCTCAACCCTACAAAATAGGTTCATACATTTTTCCCTATCCTAATTATATACACCAAACACTTCCAGAATTAGACTGGACAGCTTCCCCTGCTCAATAGATCCGAAGATGCTCCTGCAGTGTTTTAAGATATGTAAGGTAACTCAGTCATGAGAAACAGAGAAGCCCCATTTTGAGAGGTTGAGTTGGGAGTCTTTATTGGACAGCCGGTGGCTGCAAGTGGACTCCTGTCTCAAAGACCTGCAGCCCCTCAAATACACTTAACACTGTCAAAAAACTGAGCCATGAGAGCAGGAGGGGAAAGAAAGAGCAGAAAAACAATACCAACAAACCATATCAGTTCCAATGGAGAAATGAAGTGGGATGCCATGGTGACCAGAGTGGAGACAGAAGACACAGGCACACAAGGCCTGGCATAATGGTGCCTGAGCTCATCCAGTCCTAAATAATGTTGGGGCATGGGACAGGGTCATGGGAAACTCAACAGTCTCCCACGTTCAAGACATAGGACTGATGGTCCAGAAACCTATGGTCCAAGTTCCCACCCCTGCCTCTAGGAATTCAGACAGGCCCATCACCTGGGAGGTAGGACTTCACCCTCCTCCACCATGAAGACAAGATGGCCCAGTTAAAACCAATTTCCTATCCACCATGTGGCCAAGATAGCGCTGGCTAGACCCAGTCTCCCCATTTCAGTGGTATTGTTGTTGTTGTTTTATTTGGCTGATTGGAGATAAATGTATCACAGTTTTGTCTGCCTTAGCTGGCATTGAACCTTGATTGTCAGATCTCAGCCACTTGGGTAGCTAGGATTCTAGAGCCACAAATCAGTCACTCTTTCCTTCCTTCTTTCTTTCTTTCTTTCTTTCTTTCTTTCTTTCTTTCTTTCTTTCTTTCTTTCTTTCTTCCTTCCTTCCTTCCTTCCTTCCTTCCTTCCTCTCTCTCTCCCTTCCTTCCTTCCTTCCTCTTTTCCTTTCTTCCTCCTTCCTTTCTTTTCTTTCTTTCTTCCTTCCTTCCTTCCTTCCTTTCTTTCTTTCTTTCTTTCTTTTCTTTCTTTCTTTCACCATCCCCGAGCTCTTTTGTTCAAGGTTAGTGTTCTATCACTTTCAGCCAAAGCTCCGCTTCTGGTTTTCTGGTGCTAAAATGGAGATAAGAGTCTCACCAACTTTCCTGCCCTGGTTGGCTTTGAACCGTGTTCCTAGATCTCAGCCTCTTGAGTAGCTAGGATTACAGGCATGAGCCACCTGAGCCACCTGTGCCTGGCTCTCCCGTTCCCCTGATACACCCCAGGGTGCCCTGCAGTCATAACTCGTCTTTTTCTCCAGTCATCAGATGCTTCCCCAAGACCCTGCCTAGCTTGCCTTTTACTGAAAGTTGTGCCTAGCTTCCTGGTGACTGGCAGACCCACTAGTTCAGAGCCAGTACTGTGTGTCAAAGATCAGCCTCATCCACCAAGCCATCCTGCCACAGCCAATTCCAAGCTCCGAGCTGCAAACAGCCATGGGAGGAGGCCACTTCCTGGCTACCCATCCCCCGGGGCATCAGCACCTCAAGTGCAGATTCTGACAGAGGTCCAGCCACTCAAGATGAAGACCCTTTTAACTCAGGGTTTGATGAAGACAATCAGCAGGATAAACTCATTGCTCAGCCTCAGTGTCTAGACTGGGCAATCTGTCAACTCGGGTGCTTATGAGCTCATTATCCTTCAAGGGAGATGTACAAACTCCTGATAGTGCTGGTAATTCTCACTTAAGAGTCTTTCCTCCATTTCTTTCCACTTCTCTCACTATGCCTTTGTCTTCAGAAAAAAATATTAGTCTATTAATTTTAAAAATAGTAGTTTCTATTACTTGTACTAATAATGGGTTTCATAGCTGGCAGCTGGTGGCAGACTTCTGTAATCCTAGCTACTCAGGAGGCTGAGATCTGAGGACTGTGGTTCAAAGCCAGCCCAGGTAGGAAAGTCTGTGAAACTCTTCTCTCCAATTTATTTCCAAAACCTGGAAGTAGAGCTGTGGTTCAAGTGGTAGAGCTCCAGCCTTGAATGAAAAAGCCAAGTGAGAGTACAGAGCCCTAAATCCAAGCACAAGTACCCTGAGTTCAAGCCCCAGTCCTGGCATACACACACACAACAGAAAGAACAAGAGGACATCATTTTCCAGCTACTTTCCTATAGCTCTTGTTAGACTGAAAGAGGTAATGAAGAGGTAGGCAGGAATGGCACAGGTTTCATTCAGGAGAGAAAGCCCATTGAGGGTCTCAAGCAGAAGCTTAGATCCAATGCTTCTTGGAGACTGGGGGGCTTTTATGGGTGATCAGTGGAAAAGTAGTGAGAGGCCCTGTCAGGTTAGGGAATTGTGTGTGGTTTTGGTACATAATGGGTGGCCTGGGCTGTGAAGGTAATGAGGAAGAGGTGGGGTGGTGGGATCTGTATCAGGTAACTAGAATGGGTGTCCAGGCAACTCTAACAGATCTCGCCACCTTTTTCCTCATAGCATTGGTTCAGATCTGTACACACTCTTCAACTACAGACTCGGCACTTCCCCCGAATATGCCCTACTGACATGGGAAGCACTGCTTTCCTCTCATTCCTCAAACTGCTTGGGATTTTGTCTGGCCAGAAAACAATCACAGAGTTCCAATTGATCTGAAAAACTGACTTCCTTTCCCTGGAAGCTCCTGGCCACAGGCCTGTTTCTGGGTAGCTCAGGAGACACCCAATCCTGCTACTTCTTGTCCATGATTCCCTCTACCTGCCGGGTTTGTTGCACATAAGCACTATATACAGTATTTAGAGCATAGTGACTTGTAAGTAAGTCTTGTAAGTAAGTCTTGTACGTAAGACTTGTTAAGTCTTTCAGATCTTTCTCTTCCTTTCCAGAGATGACCAGGTGATTGAGCTGTGAGCAGAGCATTGGCTGTCTGGATAATTTGCCCACAGGTACAACCTCAGCAATTCTTTGAATCTGGATGCCTGAGGTAGACAATGGACCTTCGGTGGACTCAGTGTGAGAAACAAATTGTGAAAGGACTAGAATCAACAGTGCCTTTTCCTCTTCAGCAAGGCTAACTGCTCAGAGCTAACAGGCAAAGATGGAAGCCAGTCAACTCCTATTATCCAATGCAGGCCCCCTCCCAATAAGGGAGCTCTTCATGCTTCCTATGGTGGTGTTGTCTGCAGGCCTGGTAGAGAGAGCTCAGGGCCAAGTTTCCTCAGCCCCACCATTTCAACAGTTAAGACAAATTTTCTAGAACTCGGCCTCATCATTTTAGCTGCCACATTAAAGCCATCCTGTGTGAACATCCAGAAAAATGTTGAGATAATGGTAAGTCAGTTATAAGGGCCATCAATGGAAGACTGACTTACTAGAAAGAGGAAGGTCCTGGGCAGCTGTGGGCTGAGACTGGCAGCTGTGTGGATCTTCAAACGAAAGGGGCAGCAGGGGCTAGGAATGTGGCTTAGTGGTAGAGTGCTTGCCTAACATGCATGAAGGCCTGGGTTCGGTTCTTCAGCACCGCATAAACATAAAAGGCCAGAAGTGGTTCTGTGGCTCAAGTGGTAGAGTGCTAACCTTGAGCAAAAGAAGCTCAGGGACAGTGCCCAGGCCCTGAGTTCAAGCCCCAGGACTGGCAAAAAGAAAAAAAAAAGCAACAGCAAAGAACTAAGGGAAAAATGTATGTGTCTCATAGAGAGCTACACAAATGTAAGCTATTGTTCTCATGTCATTATTTTATGGTGATAATTGCAATCTGCATGACATATGCAAGGTAGACAGGACTGGCAGGGAAACACAACATTCTATTATTATTCAGTCAAAGGTTCTAAGGCACAAATGTTCCCCTCACTTCGATGTGTATGTGTCTATGTGTGTGTGTGTGGGGGGGGGGTGACGGCGGGGATGCACGCACATGTATACGATATTTGGGCTTGAACTCAAGGCCCTAAACTATCACTTAGCTTGTTTTGCTCAAGTGATCTACCACATGAACCACCTCCACTTCTTTTTGCTAGTTAATTGGAGATCAGAGTTTCTTGGATTTGTCTTCCTGGGCTGGCCTCTAACCTTGATAGTCATATCTCAGCCTTCTGAGTAGTGAGGATAAGAAGAATGAATTGCCAGCACCTGGCCCTCACCTTGATTTCTAACCTTTTTCTAGAAGGAATTCTGTACAAATCCAGGTGGCCCTGAAGAATGACTCTTTGGGTTGGGTTCCCCTCCTCACATATGATGGCAGCTAAGCTCTGTTTCAAAATGAAGTGCTGAGATATGATAATTTGCCTCAATTCCCAGGGTGTCTTTTGTCTAACTTGATAACAATGTTTTTCATTAGCAGCCTTTGTTAACTGATCACCTAAAGCGGCAATGCGCTACTCATAAGCAATTTTCTGTGTGTAAGATAGAATAAACCATCTTGGAAGAGATCTGCTAATTGATTTGCTTCTTTTAGCAGCATTTTAATTAAGACATCTAGTTGGTAAATGGTGAAATCACTTGTGAGTTAAAGGTGAAGGGCTCTGGGTTCCCCATCCATTGTTTTATGCCCCATACACATCATTTGCTGTCGGGAGTCTGGTTTTATTTTAGCTCCAAGTGCAGTAGAGACAGTGGGATATGACAGAGTTACGTCCTGAGAAATTCAAGGTTCATTGAGTGCTTTCATGATGGTGGAAACACCATAGTGTTTTTAGACCAACTCACTAAGCAATTGAATCTTACAGAGCTGTTATTTATGCAGCCCATTATTGGCTGAAATGTCATTTATGCTGTATGCCAGCGAAGAGTTCCCTCATCAGGAAGCCACATGGACTGGGGTCCTTAGAATGTGGCTCTCTAGCTTAACTCTCCATGCCCTAAGCTTCTTTCTCTACCAGAAATCCTCTCCACCCACTCGTGACAGCTCCTTGTGGATGAGGGTCCAGTGGCCAGTAGCTCTTAGAAGAATTTGGAATTTCCTGATGAACTTGATCGTGAGTCAAGGCTATTCCAACATGGTTATCTCATTCTGTGGTTAAGAAATATGCACTGGACACCAAGAAGGCCTTGCTCTCTTGTCCAGTGTGCCTCTGAGCCCCCAAAACACATGCAGTGCTTTGACAAGATACTAGCCTGCCATGGTTTGGGGAATGCCATGCTTCAAGAGAAGGGATAGTGATTCACCACCTCCAGGAAGGAAGAGAACAGCCAGCCACAGGGGGTTTGGTGCAGTAGGCCTCACGTGACAGTAGTGGCCAGGACCCGACAGCACAGCTGGAACTCGGAGTTTCCAGGACTCAGTACCCGGAGGAGGGGGTGATTTAGGAGAATTACTGGACAAAGTCAAGAAATGAAGAATCAGGCCAGGTACTAGTGTTTCACAGTTGTAATCCTGGCTACTCAGGAGGCTGGGATCTGAGGATCATGGTTTGGAGCCAGGCCAGATAGGAAAGGTTATGAGACTCTTACCTCAAAATTAGCCACCACAAAGCCAGAAGTGGAAAGCTGTGACTCAAGTGGTAGAGCACTAGCTTTGGGCAAAAAAAAAAAAAATCTCAGAGATAGAGATAGCACCCAGGGCCTGAGATCAAGTCCCAGAACTGGCATGCATGTACACACACACACACACACAAACACATACGTACACACACACAAAATGCAAATAGTGGAAGGGTTGTGGGATGGGCGTTAGAGGGAGAAATACCTGTGCTGGCCTAGGGAGGCCTTCGCAAGGAAGGAACAGGAGAGGGAGCCTCAACTCTGCTCCCAAAGTTGGGAGTCTTTGATTTGGATGTGGGCTACCCAAGAATCACTGGCTTGGGGAAGGGTCAGATTGTAGACACACAATGCTCTGGTGTCAGAAAATGAATAGACACAGAAGAAAGATGGATTTTTTTCAAGGCAATTAATCTTTGCGCAGAAGGGTACACTGCCAAGCTCCCCAGAGCCAGGCAGGCACCCTGATGGGGTGGCCTGCTATTTTTTTTGGGGGGGGGGGTCCAGTCATGGAGCCTGAACTCTGGACCTGGGCGCTGTTCCTCAGCTCTTCAGCTCAAGGCTAGTGCTCTACCACTTGAGCCACAGCACCACTTCTGGCTTTTTTCTTTTTGCTTATGTGGTGCTGAGGAATCGAACCCAGGGCCTCAGGCATGCAAGGCAAGCACTCTACCACTGAGCCAACTTCCCAGCCCTGCTATTTGTTTTATTAATCCCAACCTACACTGTCCTTCCTCCTTGTCAAAGAGTTAAGTTCTGTTTAAATTGGTTACCAGGGTAATGGGGTAGTACAAGGAAGTTAGAAATACTCCAACTATCCCTAGAGCAAGTTCCCACTCAAAGGGGGTCTGTCTCATTGTAGCTGACTAGCAACGGGGCTGGGGATGAGGTGGCTGATTACAGTTGGGGGTGGTTGGTAAAATCAGTGGAAAGTTCCCACTCCAGGGGAGGGAGTCTATTCTTTAATTCATACCTTTGACGTGGCTGACTGGTTACAAACAACACAGATGATAGCTACAGTTGAACTCAGGAAGCAAGTAATTCCTGGAAATATCAGCACAGAACTGTGACTGGCTACAAGATGGAGATACTTTGATTTGATGCAAAGATTGCTTTTCTCACAGTCTGCAACCAGGTCCTGGGTCTCTAACGTCAACTCTTAGGAAGAAACCAAGACAGGCTGTATTTGAAAGAACAAACTTCATGTTTCTGTGGGATTCATATCCAAATATTGGAGTTATAAAGGCTTATGTGGACAATCAGCACATTCTTGGGGACCCATTATATGAAAAGAAGGCTCTGTCCTCCACAAGAAAAGTCTGCAGAAGGCTGAGGCCTGTAATCATAGCTATTCAGGAGGCTGAGATCTGAGGATCGATGTTCAAAGACAGCCTGGCCAGGAAAGTCTGAGACTTTTTAAAATATATATATATATATAAATGATTTTTCCCCATTTTTTATTGGGAAAACGCCGTACAGAGGGCTTACAATTACATGAGCAAGGTAGTGAGTACATTTCTTATCAAGCATTGTTGCCTCCTCCTCCTTTGTTTCCCCTTCCAATCCCTTCCCATCTCTCCACATCCCCCCCAAAGTTGTAAAGTTCATTTTTCAACATAACATCTTGTATATCTCATTGTTACAATGGGTCCACCTGTATCCCTATTTAAAAAAGTTATTTTTCCCTTCCCCTCCACAAATTATACCAACATGAAATATAGTGAAAACAGGGGTTATACCGTGGGGGAAGGACATACAAAGCAACAAAGAAATCATCTTATAAATATGTTAGAAACAATCGCAAGAAAGAAAAACCATTTGAGTTCTTATCTTGGGGTTCATTTCGCCTAACGTCACCTTATCTGACTATTTCTGCTTATCTCAGACGTATACTAGTTATTGCAAATAAGGGAAACTATGGGACCTATGTTTCTTTTGGCCTGTCTTACTTCACTTAATATAATTTTTTCCAAGTCTTTCCATTTCCTAACAAATGGAGCAATGCCATTCTTTCTGATGGAGGCATAGAATTCATTCATCTATTAAGGGGCATCTGGGTTGTTTCCATATCTTAGCTATGGGAAATAATGCTGCAATAAACATAGTTGTGCTGGTAGCTTTAGTATGGTCTTGTTTGTGATCATTTGGGTAAATGCAGCCTCTTATCTCCAATTAACCACTAGAAAACCAGAAGTGGTGTTGTGGCTAAAGAAGTAGAGTGCTAGCGTTGAACACAAAAGCTTGGGAATGGGGAGGTGGGGAGGGAAGGGATGGTAGGGGAAAAACAAAGGAGGGGGTAACAATGCTCGATAGGAAATGTACTCATTACCTTACTCATGTAACTGTAACCCCTCTGTACAGTATCTTTACAATAAAAATATATATTAAAAAAAAAAACTTGGGGACAGTGCCCAGGCCCTGAGTCAAACCCCATGAATAACAAAAAAGAAAGAAAGAAAGCAAAATCTGTAGGAAGGCCTGCTTAGATGAGAAAAGGCTGAGCCCAGAAGAGCCCACAGTTAGGTGGAGAGATGGCTTGAGGCAGACGACCTACATGAGGTGGATTTGGGCTATGCTCAGGGCACCGCCGCTGACTGACACTTTTCCTTCTGTCATTTGTCCTCATCTGAGACATGTCAGATTCATTAATCATCCTTCAAAGGAGGTGATTTCCCCCCACAAACATGTTACCATCAGATGACAAATGAGGGGCCTATCTCCAAGGCTGAGGATATAGAGTGAGAGACTGACCCTCAAACCTCACTTCCTGGCCTATTTCCAGTCTAAAGTATCCATGGCCCTGAATTTCAGCTGACCAATGTTTTTCTCATTTGTGTCTGTGCAGGACAGAGCAGTGTTATAACAAAAGGGCTTTGAGACTGAGTTCTGTAGAGTCATCCAATTAACCAGCAATACTGAGAGTGGAGGTGTGGCTCAAGTGATAGAACATGAACTATGAACAACCAAGAAAGCTGAGCAAGAGTATGGAGCCCCGAGTGCAAGATCCAGTACTAGCACGCCTGTGTATGTGTGTGCGTGTATCTGCACGCATGTGTGTGCATGCATGTGCATGCACACACACACAAATAGCCATGCTAGCACACCTGTGTATGTGTATGTGTGTGCATGTATCTGCACGCATGTGTGTGCATGCATGTGCACACACAAATAGCCAAGCACTAGTGTCTCATACATGTCATCTTAGCTACTCAGGGACAGCTGAGGGGTGTGGTTAAGGGTCAGGCTGGGCAAATAAATCTGATAAACTTTTTATTTTTAATTAAGCCGCAAAAACCAGGAATTGGAGTTGTGACTCAAATGGTAGAGTGTCTGCCTTGAATGAAAAAGCTAAGCAAGAGTGTGAGACTGTGAGTCCAGGCCTCAGTACCATTATAAAAAGAAAGGAAGGGAGAAATGAGAAAGAGAAGAAGGTGGTAAGGAAGAAGGTGAAGAAGAAGAAAAATAGAAGTAGAGGAGGAAGAGGGTGAATAAGAAAAGGAAAGAAAAGAAGAGGAGGAAGAAGA